AATTTGCAAAAAGTAATTGTTGTTGTTAAATGTGGCTCTAAGAAGTGTTTGTCGTGTTAATGATACATACTTTTACCGCTTTATTCCTTTCCTCCTATGGTTTTTATTGGTAATTTTATACCGTTACGTTACAAAATATACCTTGTGTATAAGTATGCCACGGGAGGATTGGAAAAGACAATGTTGGATGCTCTTGTTCCACCTCAAAGCAGTCATCACTAGCCCTATAACTTCGGTAAGTATAGTTCCAAGCACAACATATACTAAACCATCTGCTTCAAAGATGATTTCTCCTTTAGGTACAGAGGACATTAGCAACAACAACTCTCCCATTATGGTCTCCTCAAAAGAGACCTCCACACACAAACAAATCTCTCTCCCTACTTCCATCAAAGATTTAGGTGGTAACCGGTTTGCTTCTTTAGATTATGAGGAGGACGATGAACCTGTTTTAGAAAATGAATCTGACATGATGGATTTATTAATTCTATCGGGCAAACAAATTCTTAGAGAAAGACCGGTAAAACCTTATGCAGAAGGTAAGGAGATGAATTGCATTTCGAATCGGCTATGCGTGGAACACGTGGTCGAGGTAAAGGCGGTCGTGGCTAAAATGAGTTCATGGACAACATCTCTACTAAATCGAATCCGCTTCGATTTATAACTTAGTTTCGCTTGATGTTGTTTTATCTTTACACTTCTGTAATCTGCTATCAAAATTTCTAGATGAATAAGATCATCTCTCTAACCATTATTTGATAAAAAGATGGAAAGTTCGACTTAAAAAAAAAAAAAAAGTATGCCAATTTGGAACAAACAAAAAAAAAAAACATTTTTCATATTCTTGTTTTCTGAAACCAGCTTTAAAATTCTCTTTCTTTTTGTCGCCAATTATTAATTCATCGTAGATTGGCCATATAAAATTGTGACGGACAGTAAAATGACAAGTTAGTGATACAATATTTCATCAAAACTTCATCTACTATTCACAAAATCTACAGCGAAATAGTCATCATAAAAGTGACGCAAAGTTTGCGATAGAATAACTAGCCGCAAGACCGTTTAAAGAGCAAAATTTGCGACGGATTCGAATATACAGTTTCGACAAGTGATTAACGACGACCTTTTGGCGTCGCAAATTCATCAGTCAAATGGCAAGGAAAATAGCATAAGACTTGGATACTAATATTTTCACACAAACAGATAAGTGGCCGTAGTAAATAGTTGATGCAAAGGAGGGACATTTCTGTTTTTTTTTTTTGTTTCTATCCTCCCGTTTCAGTTCACTGTCGATTAAAATCTATGGTAAACGCAATTAATTTGGTCTCGTGGAGGAGACAGCGACATGTCAACGTTTCTGGTTTGCTGGCAAAAGCCACCTTCCTTCCTTTCTCTTATGTCTTTTCTTCTTTTCCCGGACCAAACTTGTGTGTAGCAGCTAATCGCTTTTTTCAATGGACAAGAAGAAACCGATCTCTCTGTTTCTGTTTTTCTTCATGAATCTAACAAGCTCCACTCTTGGGACCTCTTCATCGATTTGTCCCTCAAGATCTGCCAAAGATTATATCCTAGGGTTTCGAGATCCACCAAATTGTCCCGTTTCCGGGTATGAATCAGCCTCGCCTCGTCGCCGCTTTGTTTCCGTCACCGAGGTAATCTCCGAAGATTTTTGCAACCAACCCTTTTCGCTTGAATCTGAGTTTGTGGTTTTTGAATATTGTCCCGTTTTGTTATGAAGGGAGATGATCGGTTGTTGCAAATCGCTTCAGATATGATACATGAGAACAAGTGTGATCATGTGGCTTTGCTCTTCTATGCGTCGTGGTGTCCTTTCTCTAGATCATTTAGACCAAGCTTTGGTCTTCTCTCTCTCTTCTATTCATCCATTCCTCATATTGCAATCGAAGAATCATCGGTCAGGGCGAGGTAAAGGCCAAATCTTGCTTAAGCTGTGAAGAAGAAGCTGATTTTGATCTATATAACTTGCTGCTTTGATGCTTTTTTTCTCTTTTTCTTGTGGTTCAGTACTCTGTCCAAGTATGGAGTTCGTGGGTTTCCTACAATTATCCTTTTCAATTCAACGATGCGCATAGCTTATCGAGGATCCAGAACTCTTGATTCTCTTGTTGCGTTCTACAGTGATGTTACTGGTAAGCCATTTGTTATGGCTGGCTATTTCTATAAATAGTAATACTATGGAGTTCTACTTGTGATTTACTTGGTGTTCATAGAGTTAGATGAAGAGCTGTTATGTTCTGCCAGAATTTGTTTCCCGCTTAGCTTCGTTCTTCTTCTGTGGTCGTGCTTTTACCTGCAAGGACACAAGTTATGGAAGATCTGAGTTAAAGAGCTATTGTTTATCTTGATCCATATCGAAAGGATTAGTCATTTGTGTTCCTGTTATTGGTTGTGCTATTGTGTTTGACCATTTTGATCAATTTAGGCTTTGAACAGTCGATCTAACAACAAAGCATTTGTGGGATGTAGGTATCGAAACGCTGGACGAAACTTCTCCTGGGAAAAATGGGTGGCTTACATATTTTGGGAACCCAAACAACACAGGGCCAGAAAATTGCCCCGTCTCATGGGCAAAAAGATCACCTGAGAATCTATTTCGCCAAGAGACTTATCTGGCTCTTGCCACAGTATTCGTCGTGTTGAGATTGGTACACTTGATTTCCCCCACAATCATTGTGTTAGCAAAATTCACTTGGAGACTGGTCGCTCAGAACATGAGACTGGGGAATACCGTTGCCATGTATCTTAAAGAGCCTTGCATGAGTAGCAATTTGCAGGAAGGAGCCATGAATGCTAGAGCATGGGCTTCCAAGTCATTGGCCACTGTCTCAATTGGGGATTCAAGCTCATCAAGCAGAGGTGTTTCAGCTTCACAGTAACTTTGTTTTAGAGCACATTAAGTTATCTGTTAACAATGTCTGGGGATTTTTCTCCCTGTCTTGTATAATAAACACAACAGTTCCTCACACCAATGACTTTGAGGAGCTTTGATTCATAGCTTACCATTTTGTAGCAAAGTGTATTATGTTATCAGATTACAACATTGTAGCCCAATTCTTTTCCTGTCAATATTATATCAGAGCTGAGCTGAGCTTACATGTCGATCGTAAACTGAATACTCTCCTTCAAGATTAGTCCAATAAACATCTTTATGCTCCAGAAGTGATTTCCATCTGCTGCATATCGGCATACTTATACAGCTTTTCTTTAAACACGACCTGCGGATCTTTGCTGATCAAGACACCGTTCTCGTCATAACCATCCTTCAAGAACACGGTCCAGTTCATCTCGGTGCCCGCCAAGTAGAAAGATTGGGGTTGCTTCTTGAGCATCTGGTAAGTCTGTCTAGTCAAGCTAAACTCGTCTTTGAATTCCACAATGTGATGAATCGAAGCTCTTTTCTCTAATGTTAAGCTCAAGAACTCGTGCAGGATCCCTACACGGTACTTCTCTGCGTCTAACGTCCATACATCGAACTTCCAACCATCAGAATATGGCGAAACCAGAGGCAATGTATTCAATAGATTCAGTTTCCTCGTATCTTTCTCTCCCAATTCCAACTCTTTTCCATGTTTTACTGGAAACTTAAAGGCTCGTTCCGCTCTATCTTCGTCTACCATAAACTGTCTTTCGAGCTCACTCACCGCAAGACTCGGATCCCAATTCACCAACTCAAGTACCCGATTCCCGTCTTTTCCGGTCACGACCCGGAAATAATCCGGGTATTTCCCGACCCGATCCCTGAAATCCTCAGGAATCCCAAAAAGCAACCTTGTATGGTGGATTTTGCTCATTAGAATCCGTTTATCTTTCGTCATCATCAATAGTTTCCTTACACGATTGACTCTATCGACTTCCATGGAATCCATTAAAGCTCTCTCTTCATCCAACAAATCCTCCATGAATTCCGAAAACCCTAGCCACATTTTTCCATCGCTGTGTCGATAAGTCTGGAAGATGAGAGGATGTTGAGGGATGAAACGAGTCACCTTGCGGCCGCGAGGGAATCCGAGCTCACGGTAGAGCTTGCCGGCGTCATCGAGCCGGAGAATATGCTCCGGCTGCTTCGAGATGAATTCCTTGGAACGGATCAGAAACCGGAAATGGGCGTCTCGACCAACGAGAGACTCGAAGTGAGAGATTCGAGTTGAATCGTGTTGAACGGGTTTGGTCCTGGCGGATTCTGGTTTTTTCCGTTTCTTTTTGAATTTATCAGGAGTTTTGGTGATGAGGAATGATGTGGAGAATGGTATAGTTCTGAAATTAGGGTTAGGGTTTGGGGAAGAAGATCGAAGTAGAGGAGGATTCTCAGGTTTTATTAGGGTTCTTGAAAAGAAACGGAGCAAAGCCATTTCTTTCTTTTGTGACTGAAACAAGACTGAATATTCCCACTAATGTTCACTGAGTTAGAATATGGGCTTTAAACATATGGGCTTAACTAATTTCGAATATGGGCTTCAAAAACAGGAAAACGTGCGGTTCACGATACAAGAATTTTCTACGGTTTTGTTCGTTCCTCTGTCTTTGGTTGTTACTATACTTCTGTGTGGCTCAGAAAAAAACTCAAGTTTATAACAGAATCTTTGTTTTGTGTACGTAATAAGAGATATGGACAAGATCATTGGTTATTCTGATGATGAATTACTCGTGCAGAGATCTTAACGTTTCTTCCAACAAAAGTTGTTGTAAGCACGAGTGTTTTGTCCAAGCAATGGAAGTTTCTTTTTGGATGCGGGTCTCAAAACTTGAGTACGATGATACCATAATCAAACATTATCCTGCGAAAAGCGAAAGGATGCGTCCTTTTATTGCCATGAATCTGCCATTACATAGGGTTCCCGTCATAGAGAGCTTGTGTCTCGAGCCAGACCCGGTCTTGAAGACAAGCGGGCTAAGTATGGACTTATCCCAAATTATAACATAAAAATTCTCGGCCCTTTTTCTAAAAAAAAAACACTTCTAATGCAGTGGTAATGCTTTTACAGTTGATCCATTTTTTTTATTTAGCTTTTAAATTTGCCCCAATTTTTCTTATTGTGGACCACATATATTCAGGGTCAGCCCTGTTTCGAGCTTTGCATTGCACCATTTCAACATAAAGATATCAAAT